CTGGTCAAAAAGCAAACTCTTAGAAATAACTTCGTAACAAATGGGAGATAGTATGTTCGGCCGGAAGATTCCTTACCTGTTCGGTGGCGCGGTTACTGCTCAGGCCCACGTCCTCGGTGATTTCCGGACACTCTACTTGAGGTCCGAAGAATGACTTGTACATCTCCTCGTGCGTCAGGCCGAGGAAATTTTGAATGACACGCCGTCCCTCGGGATTGAACTCCCACAAGCGAAGGGGTCGGCGTTTGCAAGGCTGGACTTGACGAACCAGCATAACTTGTATTACCGCAACCAAACTAAAATCTCCATTGAAGAGATCTCGAATGCGGCTTTGCAGTATAGGCACGTCCTTCGCTGGACCCCAGCTCAGACCTCTGCTGATCCATGACATCAGTTGTGGGGGAGGGACCGAGCGAAAAACAGGGGCGGCCGCCCACTTGGCACTTCTAGGAGCCGTGATGTAGAACCACTCCTGTTGCCACAATTCAGACACCTCTAGAATGGAACCTTTGGGCCATGGAGCTCCCGTCATCTTGCATACTGAGGCACCTCCGCAAGCTGCATGTTGCCCCTCGATCATCTTCGGCTTTACTTCAAAGGTCTTGAGCCATAGGCCAAAGTGAGGGGTAACCCGGAGGAAGGCCTCACACACGACAATAAATGTCGTTATATGAAGAAAGGAGTCCGGAGCTAGATCATGGAAATCTAGCCCGTAATAAAACATCAAACCCCTGACGAAAGGATCCAGAGCAAGGCCTAGACCTCGAAGGAAGTGGGAGACGAACACGACGTTCTCATTGGGTTCGGGGGAGGGGACGGCCTGCCCTCGGTCAGGCAGCCGATGCGAAACCTCGGCAGTCAGATATCTGGCCTCCCTCAACTTTTTGATGTCTTCTTCCATGACGGAGGAAGGCATCCATCGGCCTTGAAGGCTAGATCCGGACATGATTGAAGGTTCGGAGCACCTGACCTGAACTTTGGGTGTTTGAGCTTGAGGTGGGGGAAGGATTCGATTGAGCACGGGAGAGAAAAAATAAAAGCCTTGTCCCTTTATAAAAAGGGTGAATATCAAGCGTCCTCTCCATGGCCGTTCGGACTTGCCTATAGTCTAGGAGTCCTAGAAGCGGTTGGGTTACCCACGCTCGTATCGATGAGAATCTCGGAATAAGGGGACACGATCTCTGCTTTAACAAGACGTGCCAAGGAAACCGCCTCGCATGACACGCTGAGGTGGGATAATAAAACGATTCGAATAAAGGCTTGGTCGTGGTGTTGTCATTCTACGGAATACGTCAGCAGATTAGATTGGTGTGAACATTATTCTCTCTATGGCAATATGTGGAAACTTATTTTGCAGAGCCGGACACTATCTTTGTGTTCAAAATCTTCTATGAAGTACTTGGAGGAGGAACCCGCCTTGCAATGCTGAAGACAATCTGCGCGTCGGACTTGTCGTCATTGAAGCCTGGTTCAGGGGCTACTGAGGGAGTCCTGGATTAGGGGGTGTCCGGATGGCCGGACTATACCTTCAGCCGGACTCCTGGACTATGAAGATACAAGATTGAAGACTTCGTCCCGTGTCCGGGAGGGACTTTCCTTGGCGTGGAAGGCAAGCTTGGCGATACGGATATGTATATCTCCTATCATTGTAACCGACTTTGTGTAATCCTAACCCTCTCCGGTGTCTATATAAACCAGAGGGTTTTAGTCCGTAGGACAACATACAGAACAACAGTCATACCATAGGCTAGCTTCTAGGGTTTAGCCTCTCCGATCTCGTGGTAGATCTACTGTTGTACTACCCATATCATCAATATTAATCAAGCAGGACGTAGGGTTTTACCTCCATCAAGAGGGCCCGAACCTGGGTAAAACTTCGTGTCCCTTGCCTCCTGTTACCATCCGGCCTAGATGCACAGTTCGGGACCCCCTACCCGAGATCCGCCGGTTTTGACACCGACAGCAGTATTTAGGTGTAATTATGTTATCTTCAATTTTTCCATGGCAGTTTTGCCACTATTTTAAGGAATGAACAAGTATTGTTATTTTTCTTAATGGCTTATCATTTCTCAACAGTTGCCATGTCTCCACATTTGCCATGGCAAATCTATTTTTTGTGAATTTAACAACTTAACTCTCTCTTTTGTTCTGATGGCTAAGCAAACTATTTTAAACCATGGGAAACAAATGTAATATCTTTTTCATCGAAACTTCTTCTTTTATAGACCATTGCAAACTCACTTTTTTATAGATACATGGGAAATTTACATGAAAATTTAGCTTTTTTGCCAATAACGTATTCTTTTTATCAGACCTAGCCAATACAACATTCCCTTTTTCATAATAGGGGGGTGGGGGATAATACATTTTCCTGATATGCATAGTTGACTATTTATAGGTACTTTTTTCCTTCTAAATCCACATTTTCCATGATGTACAGAGCATATTTGCCATGGTTTTTCAAGACCATGGAAAAATCACTTCATGGAACGTGGAATTTCACTTTATGGATCATGGCAATTTTCTATTGTTTGGACAATGTCAAATTCTTTTCTTCATCCACCATGATAAATTCACTTTATTGCCCATGGAAAATTTATGTTATTTTTTGAAAAAACTGACATTTTGTTCAAAAAACAAGATTCCAAGTGTCCATGGAAAATTGATAAAATTTTCCATATTTTGTCAAATAGGAAAAAAATCCTAACTTTCCATGCGCCCATTACCCAATGCCAAAAGTTGCCTTGTTTGTTTAGGTAACAAAATTTCCTAAATTTTATTATTTGTTGTACAATGGCAAATTTACTTAACGCTCCATGGCAATTTTAGTTTTTGAAACCATGGAACATTTACTTAACGGAGAGTGGCAAATTTACCTTCGGTCCACGGCTAATGTACTTTTCAAACCATTCCAAATTTATTTTCCAGACCATGGCAATTTTACTTAATTGGCAATGGCAAATCCAATGTAGGCACCATGGCATATTTTTTGAAAATACCATGGAAAGGTTATTGTTTGGACCATGGCATCTTTTTTGTCAATTAGACCTTGCTAAAATTTTCTTTTTGAGTATGCCACTTTTACTTTTCAACCATGCCAAAGTTTTTCATTTACAAATCATGGACAATTTTATTGTTTGCAACATGGTAGATTTATTTTAAGCATGATAATGTTATTTTTTGGACTATGGCAAAGTTGTAGGTTAGAACATGAACAAGTTTTTTTTAGACCATGGCAAATTCATACTTCAGACTTTGGCAAAAAAATTGACCATGGTAAAACATTCAGCCCATTAGAAAATCCATTGTTTGGATCATGGCACATCCGTACTTTTTTTATATTTCAAACATGACAAACTTGATTAATTTAACCAGGAAAAACTATTTGTCTTGGACCATGGCAAATTAGTTTTGTACACATCAAGGAATTTTCATTGCATACACCATCATAAATTACTATCCTTGTAAATTATTTTGGAATTTTTCTCTAAAACATGTCAAAATGTTGTTGAATTGAGTATGGTAATTTTTTAGTAGCATGGCATTTTTGCTTGAACATCACATTGCAAAAAGAAGTTCCATTAGACTCTTTAACAATATTTATTTTCAGTTCTTTTTTATCTTCTTTATATGAATCAATGGCAAATTATATTGGAACATATTTTTTTGCCAAGTTTCTTTCTACGTGTTTTCAATTTTGACCTTATTTAGTTTCATAACTGGCATGGATCCATTTTTTCAACTAGGACATTTTATTATATATATTATGGCAATTTCCCTTAGTTTTTGCTATTCATAACCATATTCAAAGTCTAGCTTCAAGTCTTGATAGTAGTCAACGGGAAATTGGGCTTTTTACATCTTTTTTTTTGTTTTTTGGCCTTTCGTCGGGAGGCCCATTTAGTAGGCCTGGCCGGGGAGGGGGGGGGGCAGCGAACGATTCGTTTGCTGTAACGAACCTTTAAACCCGACGTTCGCCTAATATTGGGGTCCTAATTCTTAAACACGTGGACAATTTACCCTTTTGTGTAGCATGTCAAATCTCTAACACATGAAAATTCTTTCTGTTGTAGCATATTACAGGATTTTCGGCGATGCGCGTTCAGCGGAAGGAGACGTCCACGTCGACTACGAGGCGTCTACGGCGGCTTCGTAAATCTCAAGATGATATGTCAGTTCAGTCTGTCGGAGGTACTCATAAGGGTAGGGTTGCGTGTGTGTGTTTATAATGGTGAGTGTATGCGCGTATATATGAGCACTTGCGTCTATACTATGTAGGAAAACATGAAAATTCCTTTTTCTTAGCATGAAAAATCTCTCTATGATAGCATGGCAATTTCTAAAACGTCTCCTGAGTGCTCTTTTGAACTCGAATGAGCACGTTCTCTACATATCAGAAATGTTAATAATATGACGTCAATTTTTAAAGCATGACAAATTGAATGTTTTCTTAATGGCAAATTGAATGGTTTTATGCTAAATTATATTGTTGCCAGGATGACATTTTGTCACACTTGATAAACTAGACTATCATCCTCATGTCTACATAATTTGTCATCTCAAATGTTCAATTTGCCATGGTAATAAATCCGACGTTTGATTTGTAGCGAAATCCCTCCCTGACCCCTACTATAGTCCATAAAAAGGGACATTCCGTATTGGCTGGTGAAAACCCAAAGTTCCTGAGACGTTTGAACGGACAAGATCGGTTCACAGAATCAACAGTTCCTTACTCGTGAACACCTAATCAAATGGACACCTTATTCTGGACGAGATCGGAGATACAAACAGACCCGGATACAAATATGCATCTCGTTCCAAGTAACAATCGGAGACAGAGTGACAGACGACGTGTCGACGTAGGCAGTACTAGCAGTATATATAATGGTGCAGCACGCAGGCCTTGGACGTTCCTAACCCACCGCCGAGAAAACAAACGAGCAAACCAACACGTCTCGTTGACCACGTTCGCCTCCGATCAGCGACCAAGCCGACCAACCATGGTCAGTATGAAGCTTCCGCCGCAGCCCACGCGCTCGACGATCACGGCCACGACGAGCGCCGGTACCCACGAGCTGAAGGGGGAGGGCTACTCCGTGACCAAGCTGCTCGTCGCCGGGGAGCACATCGAGTCCAGCAAATTCAGGGCGGCGGGCCACGATTTTCAGATCTGCTACTACCCGCACAGGTACCAGAAGAAGGACTGCAACGCCAGCATCTCCTTCCTCAAGATGGCCGAGGCGGTCGCCTCGAACGTCCGCGTCGAGTTCCGGTTCAGCCTGGTCTCTCGCCACGGCGGTGAGCCTGCACGTTTTGCTGGTCAGCGCCGCGTGGTGACGTTCCCTGACAAGCACGATGGCGTGGAGTACTGGGGCCTGGAGATCTCGAAGAAGGAGCTTGAGCAGTCGCCGGAGTACCTGTGGGACGACTCCTTCGTGCTGCGGTGTGAGATCACCGTCGTCGACAAGCCGGTCGTGAAAAGCCACGACGGCCTCGCCGTCTGCCGCTGCAAGGATGACTTGTGCAAGCGTCGTCACCTGAGAAACACGGCGGATCGCGCATCATGGGTCAAGGACGTAGTCGTCAAGCACTTCCTTAGGTGTGTCGGCATATGAAATCATGTATATTGGGGCTGATACATATTATTCAAACCACAGTTTCGGTTATATAATTGTAACGATTTTGCGTCACTATATAGTTCAGGTGCGTTAGTTTGAATTGTCGCTGAGAGTGTTATGTATTGATGTGTAGTGTAGGCCAGGTTCTTGGCTGGTCAACTAATCTAGGTACATATACCATTTCTTGCAATAAATGTTATAGATTTGTAATGAATCTACAATTTTATATTTTTAATAAAAGACACCCAAAGAGTATCTTATATATGATTAATACAAGGAAAATTACAATGCGCAAACAATTAGACACAGAACGACTAGTAAAAAGATAAAATTACACTGAAAATCATACTATCCTTCTTAGTACAACTTGTATGACTTCAACCGAGGCTCATGTAGATATAGGGAACTACAAACCGGCTGGGATCGCAATTTATGGATCTAACCAACCTACGCCCCCGTGCGGCTTTGACGAGTTGCATGGGGCACCCAGTTGATTGTCGGGGACTCACCTACCTATTACTTTCCCCGCACTACCGTCATAGGCGGATGTCGGACCGATGGTGACAACAATGATGGGGCCTTTTCTTCGGTGCATAGGCGCGAGATGGGTGGCGTGGAGGTTAAGCGATGCAACTTCACATTTTGTGAGTAATAGCTAGGTTGAGCAGGGTCGCCACGGTGGATGGGTGCACAATGGCGCAGCAAGAAGCCCTCCCCTTGGATTAGTAGCCTTGAACACCCCGCTAGTAGAAAAACAGGCATTAGCAGTCTGCCACGAGCCCACTATAGCAGTTGTGACCAACCTGATGAAAACCACCTATAATAAATCAGCTGCGGCGGTTATTTTTGTTCCATGGGGGTTGAAAATATGGAACCGCCTGTAATAGTTTTTGGAGGCTGTTGTAGGTTTGAAAACTCTTGTACGTTGGCCTTAATCGAGGCGTTTTCACTCTTATGGGTGTATGGATGCCCTGTACGGCCTAAATCCTCTGACTTATATAGACACCAGGGGTAGCTAGGGTTACACATGGTCGGGTTCCATTTAAGAATTTACATGCCGAAAATAATCATATATGCTTGAAGTACACGCCAAGTCTTCGGTCGCCGCGCTTTGAAGGCCTCCGGAGTCCCTCCTCCTTAACGGGTTGGTGGCCCAGTCCATACATTAGTCCGGCTGGGCTAGGACCCATTGGTCCAGGACACCATCACATGCCAATTTTTTTACAGACCATGGACAATTTTATTGTTTGCAACACGATAGGTTTATTTTAAGCATGATAAAGTTATTGTTTGGACTATGGCAAAGTTGTAGGTTAGAACATGAAAAGATTAAAAAAAATGGACCGTGGCGAATTCATACTTCACAGTTTGGCAAAAGAAATTGACCATTGGAAAAAAATTCAGGCCATTAGAAAATTCATTGTTTGGATCATGGCACATCCGTACTTCAAACAAACTTATATATTTCGAACATGAAAAACTTGATTAATTTAACCACGAAAAACTGTTTGTCTTGGACAATGGAAAATTAGTTTTGCACACATCAAGGAATTTTCATCGCATACACCATCATAAATTATTGTTCTTGTAAATTATTTTGGATTTTTTCTCTAGAAGATGTCAAAATGTTGTTGAATTGAGCATGGTATTTTTTTAGTAGCATGGCATTTTTCTTGAACATCACATTGCAAAAAGAAGTTCATTAGACTCTTTCACAATGTTTATTTTCAATTCTTTTTTTATCTTCTTTCCATATGAAACAATGGCAACTTTATGTTGGAACATATTTTTTTTTGCCAAGTTTCTTTCTATGTGTTTTCAATTCTGGCCTTGTTTAGTTTCATAACTGGCATGGATCCATTTTTTCAACTACATGACAATTATTATACAAACTATGGCAATTTTCCTTATTTTTTGTTATTCATATTCATGTTCAAAGTCTAGCTTCAAGTCTTGATAGTAGTCAGCAGAATATTGGGCCTTTTACATCTTTTTTTTTGGCATTATGTGGGGACGCCCATTTAGTAGG